AAAATTTTATTAATAAAATTTTATAAAATCTTATGATTCTCAAAAATTTACTAATTAATTCTAACTTTATGCACTAAGTAAATTTCTTCAGCATCTAAAAATATATATAAATATATTTAAACTCAGACTAGTCTGCAGACTTCAGACCAAACCCGGATCAAACTCAGACTTGACTAAAAAGTTTGAATATAAAAGTCTGAGTCCAGTCTGAAAATCAAACCAGACTTAGACTTGATTAAAGTCTGGTTTGAGTCTGGTCTATAGGAGTACCAGTTAACTTAGTATAAAAAAAGTTTTAGATAGAAGCAGCTCAAATTTGCAAAACCTTAATTTTTATATATAAATTATATTACATTATACTATGACTTTTCTCTGATCGACTAATAAATTACCAATTAATTAATAGATTCTATGAAACAGAAATTTAAGAAATGAATATTTTTACTAGAAGTAATCATAGTGCAATACTTGCAAAAATAGGATTAGAACATTTAATATCATTAATTAGCTATGCAGAACTCAAAAGAGAGAATTTTAGTAGAACTATCTTTCTATATAATAAAGTAACCAAAGAAAATTAGGACAATTATAGAGCAGAAATAGAAAGAATCTTTAAGAACAAAAAGAACCTAATACAAAATCTCTCAAATTATAATTACCTTTCAGAAGAAGAAACTTAAGATTTGTTAGATAAATTGTATAATTTAATTAATAAAAGTATATTAGCAGCAGCTCAGAAGATGCTGTTTAAAAAGAAAATTCTAAATATACTAGCAACTAAAATGAAACAAAAAAAGAAATCTAAACTATTGCAACTCATAGTTTACCTAGATAGATGAATAAGCTTGAATAGAAAAAACTTTAAACTATAGTATATAACTAAAAACATTTAAAGTTTAATACTGAATGAAATGGGATTTGGAACAAAATTTCAGTTATAATCAGTTTGGACTAATAGTTATAACTATTTGGACGGCAACTATAACTCAAAACAACAACAGAATTTAGTCTTAATCATCGCAGAAAATTTTTATTTCTGCACCAGTGGTGAGACTAGATTTCCTTGAAAATAATGAATTGCTTCTTTAAATAAGCACGGTTTAATGCCGCAACAGACCTGTCTGCAATGGCAACAATCACAAGCTTTTTTAGAAGTAGATTAATAATTCGTTCCATATATTAAGTTAATTTATTTGTAAAAACATATCCATCAATTTGATTTTTTTAGGATCTTTTTTTTTCAATAACCTTTTACACGAAATTTTGATATTACGTGACGTGGAGAATAACAAATGAAATATTCAATAAAAAAGTTTTTTTTTAGCCTCTATATGAGATAAATAAGCAATAAATATTAAAAAAAACAGCTACTCTAAGCTGTAAAAGAACGAATTATCATTAGCCGTTGAAGCGTTCTGGTATTTACGGGTAGTGAACGATTGGTTGTATAATGGGTAAGGGTAAATTTGGATGCAATTGTTCAGGAAAAGGCCTTTTTAACTTACTTTCAGCTAATAATCAAATATGTAGGATATTACAATATTCTATATACTGTATTTAATTATGGATTCAGTAATAAATGTTAACGACAAATAATTCTCGATCATGATTGGCGATATGATAAATAAATAAAGTTTATCGCGATTTTACTTGAAATTTTTGATTTTTTTTTAATACCCGTTTGCCTTAACAAAGGTGAATGTTTTTATTAAGCAATTATTTTGTCCGTTTTACCTCATTGATATTAGGTAGGATATTTTAAAAATTCACAAAGTATCGAATACACATTGTCACTAAAATTCTTCAGATAAATTACTGATTATTGACTTTTAAAATAGCGACTTGTCTACTGTATTTTTTCTTTGACTAATACTTGTTTCTAATAATTGTTATTAAAAAAAATTGTGAAAATACTTAACGATATTTAACGAGTAAACAACGAACGCAATAAACACGTGTAACCCAAACGATTTTCACAATCAAAACTTACCAATGTTCGTTAATATAAATTTGTTATTAAAATGTACCAGTACAATATAAATCTAATAAATTTCCGAGAAAAAAAAAACTTAGTTGTCACAATAATGAAATTTGATTGAAAACATTGATGTTTAATTTTAAACGCCAAAACCCATTTATATATTTTTATTAAAAAACCTAACCCTAAATCCTACCCAAAACTCTATAAAAAATACCCCCGAAAAAAATTTTTACCATGACGCGTAACTTTCTAACTAAAATACATTTTAATTTGCTACATTAATTATAAGCTCATTTAGGTAGCCGAATTAATAATAACTTTTTGTAAATAAAAAAAGAATTACATATTATATGTATAAAAAAAAAAATATATAAATACTAAAAATATTTTAAACATAATCATTGTTTTAAGGTATTACTAAGCATTGCAGTCTTTGACACTTTATACAAATTTTCTTCAATGGCAAACATAATTTCATCAATTATTTGTTTGAAGTTGACTTTTTGCTTTTCTAAAGCATTTTTTTTGACTCGTTTTAGAGATTGGTGACATTGGTAATTTGGCATCCAAATTTTCATCATGAGTTTGTAAATCTTTAAATGGATATCCGAGACTTTGAAGTGTGGTGTTTTGACGAGATATTAGAACCTGATGCAGGGACACATATCCTTCAATTCCGATCTATTAAATTATTTAAATTATTTAGATTATTTAGATTATTTAGATTATTTAGATTATTTAGATTATTTAGATTATTTAGATTATTTAGATTATTAAAATATCAAATCATATTCAAATCGCATTCAAATCACATTCAAATAATTACCTCATTTTGGTCAATATTTAAACTTTTAAGCGATACATTTTCTTTTAAAGCTTCGCTTAAAGATTTTATGCCTTGATCACCAATAGCATTTCCTTCAATATTCAACTTTTCCAATTGAGCATTCTTCTCCAAACCCGATAGTTGCGAACCCAAAAAGGGACCCCATTTTCGATCAGCGGTACCTTGTAAATTTAATTCCAAAATATTTTTGTTTTCTCTAAACAGTCTTCCAAGAACATCACAAGCAGTTTTAATAGTCATCATTATTTGAGGATTTTGAGTAAATGATTCATTAGCATTAAATATAAATTGAGGATTTGATAAATCTAAATATTTTATAACAGTATTTTCACAAAATGAAGATAGAATTTCAACCACTTGTTCAGCATTTGAACCTATTAGAGAATTTTCCAATGATAACCAAACAGGAGTCCAATCGTTACGCACAGCATAACAAAATTCTTTACAACTAGCAGGTGTTCTCGCTATGAAATTGCCTCCTGCCCAAACTCTAATATTTTCATAATTTGGTGATGTGGTAACATAAGAAAGTATTAAAGCTAATGCTTCACCATCTAAATTACAATGATCAATGCTAAAGTATTTAACTTTAGCAAATGCCGGAGATCGAATATATGCGTATAATGAAAGTAAATGAGATTTATTGTTCAATGGAATCCCACCCAAATCTAATGTCGTAAGTCTTGTTTCACCTAGAGTTTCCAAAGAAATTATAGGTTTTGTTCCAATAAAGAATTTCAAACAATTACGGAAATATAATGAACGTAAATTTATGGATTTTGAAAGTAAATCAGCTAAAATGTTTTCATCAATATCACACATGTTATTTGAAATATTTAAAGATTCGAGATCTTTTGGTTGTTGTGATTGAAGTGATTGAAGGATTGATACTAAACCATCAAAATTTAATTTACAATTTGAAATATCAAGTTCTTTAATTGATGTCGTATGATTCTTTATTCCATTTGCTAATGTTTGAGCACTATCTCTTGTTATAGAACTATCACTTAATATTAATCGTTCTAATCCAGCCTTTCCGGTGAGCAAAGCATTTCCGATCGCGGATATAGTTTCACTTGTGATTCCACAAGATCTTAAGTTTAATGATTTTAAATTAGAACTTGATATTATTAAATCATGTAATACAGTTGCAAGCATATTAGATCCCGAAGAGCTTTGTTGAATTTGAAGTTCAAATAGATTGATGTTACTTAAAATAATTTCCGAGAGTAACGGATGATTTTTTAAAGAATTAAATATGGCCATTAATTCATCGGTAGTATAAACATCATTTTTTTCATCTTTTGGAGGAAGTAACACGAATCTAAATGGTAGATTATCAACACCTAATCCAAGTTGAACATTTTCCGAACCAAGAACGTATTCGATTTGAAAGGATATTCTAGATTTAGATATGTTTAATACATGACATTGAGCTTCGATCATTCTTTCTACACCAGTTTCTTGAGACATTTTTCCGGTAGGAGAAGTTAAAGAGGAATCAGGAGAAATTGGAGTAGTAGGATTTGATTTGTAAGTCCACCAAAAGGTAATTGAATCGATAATCGATTTAAATTCATTAGCGATAGTTTCACTTAAAAGAGAAGAAATCATGATAGTTCGTTTCGAGGAATTGTTTTTAAAATTAATTAAAAGAGTATCATCGATACTATTTGAACGAATGTCAGTGATACATAATAAAGGATATTTATATTTCCAGAAATCAATTTCTTTTATTAAATTAGAATTTTTTGCAGATGAGATCTTGAAATCATTACTTTTACGATTATCTTCACTTGGAGTTCCATCATTTTTTAAATTACTTGGAATTATATAAAAATTATTTTTGCCTAATATCAAGAATACAGGAATTTTAGGATCTTTTTCGGATTGACCATCTTGATCTTCATTGGATAAAGATTTAAGTAAGACTCTATAAGCCACTAACTTATGTTCATTTACATCAGCCAAATCATCTAATGAATTTAATTTGGTTTTTAACCAAGCTCGTTGATCATAAGTCAAGAAAGGACCTCTTGGATTAGAATTGTGAACAGCGGAACGTAAAACAGTGAGCCATTGACGATGTTTTTGAAGATCAGGAGCAGTTATAGAGACAGTAAGTTGTTTTTTTAGAGAAGACATATAATCAATCCTTATATGAGGATCCGGAGTGAGTTGTTCAGTAATGGCAAAAATAGTAGGTAGACAAAGAATAATATTTTCAGCGGGTAAAGTTCTTGTAGTTGAATCCAATGTACCAGAACTATCTATTGAGCTATTACTACTATCGGCACTTAATTTTCTATCACCATTTAATCTTCTTGGTAAAGTACAAAGAGGTAAGCCATCAAAAATTTTAGCAGCTTTATCGGCATTTTTAAAAGCGCATAAACAATTTCTTGTTAAAATAAAATATTTATTTGAAGTTTTTTTAAGAGGAGAGGAAGAAGACCATTTAGCAACTTTAGATTCAAATAGAATAGGATCGTTTATATTAGGAGGAGAGATGTTCATTTCACTTAAATTCCTGAGATGTTTTGAATTTCTCGGACGATTTAAAGCATCTTTCAAAGAAGCAAGATTTATTTTTCCAAGCGAGACAGATCTTGGAGAAGTAGGAGAGATAAGAGGTTTTGGGGTGAGAGGGGTGAGAGGTACAATTTCCTTGACATCTTTAAAAGCATCACGCTGAATGTCAACATATTCACTAGCATAAGAAGAAATCAATGAGAGTATTGAAGAATTATGGGTAGAATTAAAATCATCAGGATCATCGTCATAACTATCGTCGTCACTATCACTTTGTTCTTGTATTTGAGCCAAAAGTAAACGTTGTTGTTCTTCCATTCTTCGACGTTCTTCCAGCGACATTGTTGAAAAATAATCTTTTTTCATGGATATATCAGCACCATTTATATTTACGTCATCCTTGTTTGCTATATGACTTCCAGAAGTTGATTTATTCATGTTATTTACTCGTAAGGTTTTCATATACAAATTTTTTTTTTTTTATAAGATTATATAATAAAAAAAAATTTTTTTTGTTTTTTTTTTCTTTTTTTTGCTTTTTTTTTTTTTTTTTATACAAAGGTAGAAATGTTACCGTTCCTTTTTGTTAGAAAAAAGTGGGAAATATTCATATATAGATAAGTATATATAAATACGTATATTGATTTTATGCAAGCATGCATGTGAAGGTGAATTATACATGGTAACAATGACATCAAAAATCTCTAAAACTACGTACTCTGCAGTCGAATTCAAGAACAAAGACGATACTGACCAAAATAGGAAGATTTGTGACTACGTTGCCCTAAAATTTAACATTATAAAGTTTCGAATTTGAGAAAAATTTTTTTTTTAATAACGATAAATTAATAAAATAATTCTTGGTTTAATTCAGAATTGGAATGTTTATGTGTAACACATAGGATTAATTTTATTACCCTTTAATGCTAATGTTTATGTTGTTAATGTTTATGTTGTTTATGTTTATGTTAATGTTTATGTACATAATTTTCGATATCAATTAAATTATGCAATGTAATTTATACGAAGAAACTTCGAAGAAACCGTTTTTTATACGTGGATACTATTTATATGAATTTATGAATTTATATGAATTTATAAATAATTTCTTCGAGCAGGAAAAATATGCATAATGGAGATTAATATAATTTGACAGGATGGATTCAAAAGATCGATGGCATTCATTTTTTGGACTTGTTTTTATATAGCAATTATTGTCGTCTAATTTTAGGAATATTGAATATTATATACGTAATATATTTGCTAATTTTACTAAGGTTAGGACAGATCAGCATCGGCTTAATTTATACGTACGTATTCTATACTGTATCGATAATAGCGATAGTAGATATAGTACGTACTATTAATATTGCTAATATTGTTAATATGGCTAATATTGCTAATATTGCTAACGCTAATATTGCTAGTATTGTTTAGTACGTACTGATGCTATATAGAATTTATATAGAATGAACATTCATTCTATATATGGAATTTATCAACTGAACGTTTTAGATGTGATATCTTAAAGAAATCCTATTATCAATCATTTTTTAAACACTAAATCTATAAACAAAAATTAAATGTAACATGTGTAATATGTAACGTGAAGCACTGATCGCGCAAATGTTTGAAGTACAAAACTTTCTAGTTAACTAGATTTGTATATGTGTATAGACTTTTTGAATATGTTTCTATGAAATCTGAAACGATTAAATTATATTAAATTCAGCCTTCTATGTTTCGATAAACCACACATAAAATTAGAAATTAAAGTGATACCAGATTATACTTACGAATTGTATATTATATAGATAATTTATTGATATTTCATAGATAATTCATGAATAAAATAATTCATAATTCATAATTTAGTTCACCAGTAATATTATTTCATCTGCTTACAAACTTTCAAACTTTTCAATATTTTCAATATTTTATTTTCAATAAAGGAGGTTACGATACATTATATACAGTATATACAGTATATACAGTATATACAGTATATGCATACATTATGCCATTATATCCTACGTATACGGATAGTGATTTCATATTATGCATATAAAAAAAAATTAAATTGAAATTAATATTAACATTGGGAATAGGTCATTTTGTTTTGCAGATCTTGGATCACATCACCATGTAAACATTAAACGTCAAATTGGTAAATTGATATTTAATTCTGTTAGTTCTGTTATTAATGATTTATTAATGGGTTATTAACGGGTTATTAATGGTTTATTAATGCAGGTTAGATTATTGTTTATATTGTAAGTTTGCGAAGGCAATCCACGTTTTTCGATTATCCTAAGTCCCTAATTAGCAAATCCACACCGATCATTAGGGAACCAATTAAAAAGTTCAGTCTAAAAAAAAAGAATTTTCTATATTACTTCATTATAAGTACGTAATTTATCTGGTTGCACTATTTAATTGCACCTTGCATCCGACAATATTAATGATCGACTATAATTTTTACGCATAGATGTGCGTAAATGTAACCGCGAGAGGTTTTACTCAAGGTTTTACTCAAGGCTTTACTCAAGGCATTACTCAAGGTTTTACTCAAACATCATAAACATTACTAAGCATAAATTGTTGAGCTACAGGAATCTTGCAGAATGTAAATAATAATATTCCTGAATTTGAAATTCATTCGACTTGTAAAAAATGTGAATTTGTGAATTTGGCTTTTGTGTAAGCTCAAAATGTTTCAGATTACTTGGTTAATGGTTATGAATCATATGAATCTTACCTGGATCAGATTTAAACAATTAAGCAAACGTTCGTGATCTTCTGCATCTCTCTTTTGTCTAGACTAAATCTGAAACCTGTGTAATAATGACCGTGCGAGTCCGTTTATTATTTTTCAAAGAATCTTTATACGAGTTTGAAACATAATAAGAAAAGTTGATCAAATGACTCGTATATTAATAATATTGATAATATTGATATTGATAATATTGATAATATTGATAATATTGATATTGATATCACATTATCAACATTTACCTTAAAAGTTAATACCTTCCCATCCTATCAATCGGAAATACAAATCCATCGGATACACAAAAAAACTTAGTTCTATCTACGTACATCAAAGACAATGAATGTTCGCGTCGTTATTATCCAAATCTGTCTATCATCGGTTATAACAGTTTATATTATATAATTGGCAATAAATGCTTATGTAAAAAGATTTTTCTTCCAAAATCTTTGAAATTCCTGTAGCGCAAATAGATTGTTTGTTTATTACTACAGTACTATGTGCAAACAGACTACAATGTGGCAGACAAATATGGTAATAATCTCGGTAAATTGGTCCGTTATTAAAAAAACTTCAAGTAACGGTAATCTTACTAAATACTTTGTTTATTCTTTATTTTCCTCACATCTTCCCCCGCAATTCCGCTGTTGTTTAAACAAAGCCACTTTGTTTTTGTATCACTGTTTCACCGTATGATTTACGATTCTAATATTAGAATTTTGGGTTTAAACTTTGTGTGATTGTCAATATGAAAAAATTCTAGTCGTTCTAGTACTAGCCCATAATAAAAGGATTTACTTCTTTATTCCAATCAGCTTGCATACTAATAATAAAATTCAATATATCTCGGTCAAGAATCTAGTAGGTTTTGACATCTGAATTTTAAAAGCTAATTGGTCACATTCATGTTAATAAAAATATCCTTCGATGCTAATTCAATATCAAAATTTCTTGTCAAGAAATTTTTGCTCAAAGTTCAAAAAAAAAAATCCCCAGAAATCGTCCGGAGGACATTAATAGAAAAGTAAAACAAAAGTTGCGCTCTTGATTCACTTCATAGTCATTTCATACGAAAGTTTAAGTTTGGAAACTCTTGTCATGAGAAAATGTAATTTTAGAAATTCTTGTCATGAGAAAATGTAATTTTAGAAATTCTTGTCATGAGAAAATGTAATTTTAGAAATTCTTGTCATGAGTAAATGTAATTTTAGAAATTCTTGTCATGAGAAAATGTAATTTTAGAAATTCTTGCCATGATATACTTATACGTTTCTTAATATCTGATATAGTACCGTAAACTACCGTATAAAAGACCCGGGTGTAGACATTTCACCAATTTTAAATCCTATTACTAGACCCATGGGTCTGATTATTGGGAGGGTTGATAATAGTTGGATTTAATCATTAGTGCTTAATCCTATTTGTATACCCGGGTCTTTACATTTTACCAAAACTGTATCCTATATTATAGATCCGGGTATAATACATAGAAGGTCTGATGCATTATTCCTTCGTTGGTTAATTTAATTTATTGTTAATAAAATATTTTTTTAAATTATATATTTTATTTAATTTATTGTTAATTTATTGTTAATAAAATATTTTTTAAATTATATACTTTATTTAGAATAAATATATATATTGCACCCCGTGAAGTCATTATTTATCGCCCGTATAACTGTATAACTTATAAAAAATTAGAATCACATGACCACAAAAATTTAATCAAGAATAGCGTCGCTCATAATGAAAGAATGACTTCGTCTATATTATTATATGAACGAAGTCATTATTACATCATGTAGCAACGCTCTTCTTTATATATCCTGCAAAGTCATTATGTGATTCTAAACGAAACGCAAACCAGTGCTTGATAATTTTACATCATAATGCGACACACCAATTTTATAGCATACCAAACAATCCAGAGATCATATATAATGTAGATTCAGAAGCTTTCGCTTTAAACAATCGTCATAATAACAAACATGTTATCATACCAAATTATTACAAAGAATCCTTCAGCAGAACTAATAGAAATGGAAAAATACATCCGCTTTGATAATACTGCTGAATGTTCTGTCCAAGCATCACCCAACAATTATTATGATAATTACATAGAGAATAGTGATGAGATATTAACTTACCAAGTAAATTGTTGACTTTGAAGAACGAGATGAAGGTGTATTAGCTAATATAGATAGTGGAGTGGTTGTAACTTCTGAAAACATACCCGGGAGTATACTTACCGGACAAATCCCAAACCCCCCAAAAAAATAAATTGCTTTTGTAAAAAAATTAAATCAAAAAAATTTTTTTTAATATTTTGTAAATCTATTATATATAGCTATAAAAATATAAATCATTTTTTTAAATAAAGATTATTAACAAAGTTTTTAAGATAATAATTTGGGCTTGAGTTTGGGATTTGGGCGGCAAGTATACCCGGGAGTACTGTGTAGTGATTGTAGTCGATAAAATTTTTATCGACTAGTCGAGTTGATGATTTAATTGAGCTTAGTCAGCTTAGTCGACTATTATTATATATGGTATAGTAAATTAGCACTTATAGCTATCTATCTAACCGATAGTATATAACACTACAGATTTTTAGAACAAATAAGTCATTTAGAGCAATTTTTAGAATTTATTTAAATATTTAAGCGATTTATCATTTTTATACAGTATAATTAACAATATTGTATCTTAATCCCTTAATACAAAGACATTATCTAAATTAGTATCTAATAATTAATTTTAATTTTACCTATCCTACGATAAGTTATTACACTTGTTAAGATACTGGTATCGCTTATATTCTTTTATACTTTTAGTGTTTTGTACGTAATAATAAATAATTGGTTTCCTTATTTTAATGCTTATGACTCTGAGCTAAATTGTGAGTGCCGTTATAAAGTCCCTTCCTGGTCGTAACAACGTACATATGTATGCATGATGTACAAATTTATTTTAGCACTTATATCGATTGATTGTTAGTTACTTTAATCAAAAATCCATACAATTGAACTTTTAATTGCCCAAATATTTAGTCGACTAAGCCGATATTTTTAAAAATGGACTATCTTAGTCGACTAAGCCGGCTAAGTCGACTAATGCTATATCTACTTGAAACACTAGTACTGTATTTGCTTCTTGAACGGATGCTAAAAATTTCTTTGAAGAGTATAGAAAAGAAGTGGTTTTGTGGTGGTTAAATATTGTGTAAAAAAAAAAAGGCTGAATTAGTTATTATTTTTGCATAGTAAATGTTGAATAAGACGCTAACAAAAAAAAAAAAACATAATATAAATAATTATAAGAGTTACAAAGTTTGAATTGACTAAAATAATTAGTAAAAAAATTATAGTTTTCACTGTTTTTACGTAAAAGTGATTTATACGCAAATTTTTATTTGTAAATTTGAAGGAAAAAACAAATATAATAAGAATCAAATAGTAGCTTAAACGGACAAACAAATGATTACAAAAACCAAGAAAGTCAATTGTCTGTAACACATAAATCTTTTTTATGGGGAAACTGGAATTCATATCTATTACTACAATTGTAAATGAATATAATCACAAAGAATTTGAACATAAATATTATATTCTTACTGAAGATGCCTTGAAAAAAAGTGAAAATCATAACAAAATATATGGTGCGAATGGTCTAATCGCATCAACTTTTTTAATAATGCTGAAAATTTTGCTGATCATTACGTATAAAATTAAACAATTATTCTAAAACGCACCTATGGTGGTTTTGCACCTATTATATGTTTATATTATGTTTTTTAAAATTTTCTAAGTTTTTATAAGTTTTGTATATAAAATTTTTAACATCAATTTTTTCACGTTAA